TCTTTACGCCAATTATGGTGGCCGTTCATTGTCTATACGCTTAGAAAAACGGGTTTATCTGAATTTACAACATAATTGCATTTTACATTAATTACTATACATTTACATTTTAAATTTCCCGCGCAAACGCCCGCATTGTAACGAACGTTGAACCTTTGCAGAAGCAGATTTTCAAACGGTCTAAAAGTGTATGTGACATTGCTCCGAATTAAGTATTGAATAAGATAGAATTACTCAGGCCGCTGCGTGAGCATGCGCGCTAGAAAGAAAGGGGGGAAGGGGGGAAGCTTTGACATTCTTGAAAGTGGAAAAAGCGGTCATAATTGAAATTAACTGCAAGCTCCTACCTTATCCCCTACGATTTCCCCTTTGTTTTCTTCTCAAAAAAAGTCCAGCCTGCCCTCCGGAGACCTGCCGGGGAGTATGCCAAGGAACGATAGCTGTCAATAAGTTTGCGCTACGCACATGTGTGTCAATTAACTATACACTTATCGCCACGCCCCTTTGAGGACTAGTCGTATGAAGTGTCTATATCTGAAGTGCATATCCAAACATGCAATATGAAGACTCATAGCTTCTACTTTCTATATGGTCTAAGTCTTTCCAATAGTTTAGAGCTTCTTATCGAAAAGCTATTAATGTTCTGAGATTTATGTGGAGAATAATTTGGAGATGCTAAATTCAACTACTGTCTGTAGTTTATTGTATCGAGAGATGCTTGAGTACAGCGACCACAGCTATTTTTTAATCTAGAAATTTGCCAATATATTTACATTTTCATGCTAAAGTTCCCCAAAGAAACAATTGAAGTTACGGAAAATAGTAACTAGACAAGATATGGTGAACACATCAGGCCTTCAGACTGAATTTTCATTTTTTTCGATAAATTATACGCGTAACGTTGCTGGAAAAAGCGAAACAGTCCTGTTAGATTCAGCTCATCAATTGCACTCAATTTCATATAAACCTCGGCAAATCGAAAATTTGAAAGAAGTAGTTCGAAAACAAATCGACATCTTTGATCATGGCGTGCTCTGTCGACGGAGCGCAACGCATTGTCTTTACGTAGCTGCGCTTTCACCAACTTGTGCAGCGCCTACAGTTGGCAGCTTGCGGCTGGCGCAAGCTATCGTTCATCTTGACTGCCACCCGACCTGCCGCCAAGGTCTGTCTCATAATTAGGGTGCTAGCATGACAATCTAAAGTGAGCGACACTAGTTGCACTTTAAGAACAGATGTTGTGATGGAAATTCCAAAGCATCTAATTTCATAGCTGCTTCTTATAATTAAGTACTACTTTTCGTAATCATCTGTACAATCGCATTTCAGATTTCTGACTTTGGATTGTCGAAGATTGCTGAAGAGTTGGAGGCAAAGAAAGAGGGAGAAGAGAAGGGTGATCCACCAATTGAGCATATTCCACTACGGTCCGTATTTGTTTTTACACTTACAAGGAGCTAGCATTGTGTTTTTAGGTGGATGGCGCCAGAAACATTGAAGCGGCCACAGCTATGGTCAACTAAAAGCGATGTATGGAGCTTTGGAGTTGTATGTGGACATGTATTCTCTTGGGATACTTTTTGCATCAGAAAAACAAATAATCTGAGCTGAAAGGCTTTATTTATAGCTTTTATATGAGGTCTTCAACGATGGCGAGAGACCATGGCCTAACGACGAACCAAAACGGATTGCTACCCACATAAGGTTAACTTTGATCAACTTTGAGATAGGAATGTAAGGCATTGGCCGCATTTGCATTACGCGGTTTTAGACATGGAAGAATGCCTAACGTGCCTCCTAAGGCTCCTCCTTGTATTAAAAAGCTGATCGCTAAAATCTGGTATGCCGAAAGATAATAGTAATGGAAAGAGCTATTCAAATCTGTATGTGCAGGGTTGTGAGCCCCGAGCAGAGACCAACCATGGAAGACCTAGCAAAGCAGCTGAAGGAGCTCCACAAAGGCGAATTCAAAGTAAGTCGTTGCGAAAACCGTCCATGACAAAGGACAAAAATTATTTATGGCCACTTCATCTTTTCTTCCTAGAGGTGGCTCACATTTGAGAATGTAATTAACACTCGTAGAACAACGTCTCACCTGAACCAAACTGCTTTTTTGCAGCATTCAAACCAAGGACTGTTCTACAAAGAGTCATGATTATTTCAGATCAAAGATACTACTAAAGTCACCCTCAAAAAAGCGGAAAAAAGCATAGCAACCGATACAAACAGAAGTGTAAGTCTGAGAATTGACTAAGTCAACGAAATGGGAATATTTATGCTCCTTGTAGCTTGCTGATTCTGATTCGCCAAATATAACTGGACTTGATGATGAACTGGAGCAGCAGCCAAAGAAAGGTCAATCTAAGCGAAGACCATCCAGAAAAAGTGCAATTCGAAAGTGAACATTTATAAATGGGAAATTAAGATTTCATACAAATTTCTGCCAATTTTACTGCTGGCGATGTTGTTAAAGTGATACGATAAGGTATGATAATAAAGAGTTAAAGTATTGATGGTACCATCTTGAGTAAGTATTAGGTCTTTTTTGCGCCTTTTTTCCAATT